CACCCACACCCACACCCACACCCACACCCACACCCTTTTCTTATATTATATCCTACTTTAATGCTTATTCTAAATTGTTACATAGATAAACAAAGGAAACAGAATAATCATAACACATCGAAAACTTAAAGAGAAACAATCGAAGTCATCATTCTTCAGACATGCGTGAGAAAGAACCCCTTTACAAACGTCTGGTTTTGTTCCTTATTCTTATTGAAACCTATCAAGTGAATACTTTGCGTATCTCTGCAAATATATTAAAATATATGTTTTGTCTCTTACTAATAGTCTTCAAGTCTAACAGTATAAAGTCAAGCATTTCCTCCGATTGCAGTGATATTTCAGAGGAGACATATTTTTTTAGACTCATGTATATGTTACATTAGAATGGAGTAGTCAATATATTCGATATGATGATATGAAAGAATTATTTTCAAAAATAGTTGCTAAAATGCAAGCGTTTATTGATGATATTGATGATGTTAGTTGTGAAAAATTTTTCTTACATGTTGATGAATATTTCTTTCAAATAAGATGTTGAAGTAAAATATTATTTTACATATTTTTTTGTTCCATTTTTCCATTGTTTGGTAAATACTACTGTGAAAAAAGAGGTAACAAAAAGTCAATAAGATTTTTGAAGAAAAACTGGTTGAGTAAGTCAATACATAGATTTTTTTCTTAACAAGATACATAGAGTTGAGAGAAAGCTGCGTACAAAATGCTTTGATAAGTTTGATCTTTTTTCTATAATTAAGTATCAACAAGAATCACTTATTCTTATATTAATGACAAAAATTGATCTCGAGCGAGATTCTTTTTACCCGTTTGTTTAAATTTCCATCAGAAGTTATAGTGGCCAATCAAAACTTCGATTCTATTCGAACTTCTGTTGACTTTTCGATTGGAGAACCTATAACTACATACTTTTTTTTCAGAACAATACAATGATGAAAAGCTTTATACTGTGCTTGTCGGTTTGGGTGTTGGTATGGTTAAAGCTTAAAACAACAATTAAACCAGACACGTATACTACTACATACTCAAATTCAGCATAGAAATGCAGAAGAGTCAAAAAAAAATCATCACGTAAATAGTTATTAATCGTAGGCAAGAAATAAAAAAAAACAACAAGAGCAATAAAATTTTGTAATAAGAATAATCAAAATCGAATACGTATAGATTACATGGTGCCTAATATTCTTGCTTTGTGTCTAGAAAAACACAAATGATTAGATAGGAAGAAGCTAGAAAAACAAAACTCAAAACGATAAGATAATCCATTGCAAATGAATTCAGAAGATATTTATGATCGAATTGTTATTGTTGCTCCTGGTTCATTGGTTGCTGCGGGATTATAATATCCAGAAGCGCGTCGTTTACGTAAAAATAAAATAACGAGACCAATAATAAGCAGAAGAACAATTACCGTAAGAATCATTATTATTGGTAACCAATTTATTCCATATTCGTGCAGTTTTATTTCATTTTCTGTATCATCAGATTCCCATTTAGCCATTTTTTATATCGTGGCACGTTTCTATGCGTTTCAAGGACCTAAAAAAAATATTCGTACTCGTCTAAAATGCAACATTTTCGATTTATCTAAACATGGAAGTAGTTTGAAAAGCGCATGTGAATATTTTTTGTGTAAATTTTGCAGTATACATTCGAATTCTACTAGTAGCCATTCAAATAAAACGTGATTTTATATTGTATTAGTATAAAAAATTAAAGTTTTAATTTCTACTACAGAAAAATTTCAAATTCTACTAGAAATTTATATACCGAACGTATTGTAACTTCTACTGTGGTAGAAATATACATACTTGTTTATACCGATAATAATATACAGAAGCATGCTCATTAGCTTTTAATAACATAGAAAGCAGCACAAGAAATTATTAAATATATCACGAAGTTCACATCTGTTTATTTAGCGCAACCCCATTACGTGCAAGGCTCGTACAACTGGATTAACCTCATTACTAACATACTTTTTTACAAACTTGACCAAATATGTGTGAATAATGTTTAAGAATTAAAAGAAAGTAATTCCGAAAAATTACAGTTTGCGTAATCAGAGTTGAAGTCTGACTGGGTATGAGTGTCGGTGCAGCATATAGGTTGTTGTGTAGATATGAATTAATTGTGGTGTGGGCTGTAATTCTCTTTGAATCAGCACTCAGATCTCACATTTGCTTATTTTGTGTGTTTTTTTCTTGTGAGATATCGTAAACAGTATAAGCGAATATTTAAATTTCTACAACGGTAGAAATTAAAATTTTAGCTCCTATCAGTACAATTTAAAATCACATATTACTTGAATCCCTACTGCAACATACATAGACAGAAAAGGTAAAGCGTTTTGTGTGATGACATGTTGCATGCATTTTATAGTCAACGATTCTCTCAGGAAAAATGATATTGTATACAAGAGTGTTCCAATACACGCTTGAAGAGAAAAAAACGTTCTTTTTATGTGTAAATGCGTCATTTTTCGTTTTCAAATTATTAACATGCATCTTTGTTTATTGACAACGCATTTTTTCTTTTTTATTGCAATGCCTATCAAATATATCGTTCGAATACATTTAATTATATGCATTACAACGAATTTATTTACCGTGCAAGCAAATGTCTTTTTTCGTTCTTGCTCTCCAAAAACACGCATCTTTTTATAAACGCATTTTCGTTTCATTTTTTGACGCGCTCTTTTTTTTACTGAAAAACAGTCTTTTTTTATTACATACGTTGAAACAGTTTCTGAAACACATGGTTTTTTGTCACGGCACGATTTTTATAATCACGTGGCGATGCACTTTTTAAAAGCGTTTCTCATAGAGAAAGTGATTGATTTCATAAACGGATGAAGGAATACTTAGACTCGTACTTTGAGAGTGCAAATGTGCGTATGTGTAACGATAAAGTATGCCCACACCAACACTCACACTCATTTGACACTGAGATCGACAGTGAGTAATTAAGTAGCTCATTCAGTCTCAATCAAATGAGTAGAGAATATTCAACCAAAATGGCTATTAGAACAAAAGGAAATAATGCAAACAACAATAATATGTTACATCAATGTTGCTGACAATGAGAATTTCTTGTTGCATATTGGTTGTGGTGCAATGTATGAAACATACAAATATATGCATTGTTAAAAATAATATTAAAAAGAAAATTTAATAGATACCCTATTGATAATTATCTAGAATGCCTGGGAACAGTAGAAATCATTGTTAGGTCTTTATTTTTGTTCTTTTTTTATGACTGTATATGCACTCACTCTTAATACGATGATTTGTTGGTAAAAATATCAAACAGTCCACATTATAGTATGAGGTGAATCATTATTCAGCAAGTTATAATTCCTTTTTTTTTAAGTTCCTTTTTGTATTTTTGTATATATATATCTGCAGAACAAGAGAAGAACAAACTGTCGTCAATTAAAGTCTCTGTAACTAGAGCTGCTGTGTTTTCGTAGAGACTAGCAAGACATAGTTGGAGAGCAAAACGACGAAAGCTCATAATTGTTTGAGGAAAGAGCTACCATATCATTTTTTAAATAAAACATAAGTCATATTGCCTGAAAACCTTTCTTCTTTAATGATCAACAGTCGCACAAGAAAATTCAATTGACTGTTTTTGAATCCATTTTGTCTTACTAATTAAGAATGAAAACATGTATTCAATTCAAACGATGCTAAAACGGTAGGTGTGGGTGTATTTGTCTGAGTGTTGGTATGGATGCAGGCCTCTCTTTCCACACCCACACCCTACGTAATAAAAATGGTTTATTAGTAGCTCTTATTGGTACACGAATATATGTATGAACAACTTCAAATGATTTTAATACTGGTTTTTTAACTAATTTTGGATGTCGATCCGAAAATAAAGTTTCTTAATCAAGAAAAAAAAAGAATAAAATTCTCATCAAGAAAGTTCAAGTGTACATAATACTGAATTTGGAATGATTGGCGTATGTGTTCACTATTGAAACCAATTGGTGTTAATAATCTACGTAATTCAAGTTCAACTGAAAAGTTTTTAAACAATTAAGATGGGGTGTGGGTGCAGCTGTGGTCGTTGAACTGGGGGTCCTTCACGCCCGCACCCTCAACGCGTCAAGAGATGTGATCCTTTCTCTGAATATAAATGAACATTGATTTAATATTCTGATTAAAAATGTAAACAAAAATATTATTAGTGTAGATTTTTCAATATAGTTCATCAAAAGTTGATAGATATATTAAAAATCGTCTTGTTATCCATTGTTCACTTGAATATGTTCACATTAGGATGTATATGCACCGCATGTTTATTAAATTTACTTCTTCACAATGCAGAGTTGTGTATGAAGAGCATGGAGAAAAATAGTTTTTCAATAGCAGAGAACAGAAAAAACAAAAATGAAAATAAGAAATAGAGAGCAGACCGTTGATATACGTTTGAAAGCACTCCAGAAAGTAGGTTAACATTGGTCGATTTAATATCGTTCTTTTTTTATCGCCGTATGCTTTAGTCACCATGGAATCGAGAAAATAAGCGAGAAAAAATAACGATGTTGAGTATGTAATGAAATTCTTTTCTTTTTACATACTTGCGTAATGATTCAAAAAGTGTAAACACATTCTAATAACTAGATGGCATCTCGACAAAGTCGAGAATGCGAGATAAGGTGCGAAGCACGAATATCGACTTTTTCCAATTATCGAAAATTCGAAAAAAGCGAAAAATTAATTTGAGACTCAAAGTCGAATCATGTTTCTCTTCGTTTCTGTTTCACAAAAAGTAGCAGTTTCTGTTGATCTTTATAACTAAAACAACTCGTAGTTTCCTCCATCAGCTGCTTCAAATCTGTCACAAACTGAAAAGTTGCCATTGAAGAATTTATCTCTGCAAGAACTCTATCAAAGCCTATCAACCTTCGTCTAAAAAAAACTATCGATTGATTGTTTAATTATCTGTATGATTCATTATCTATCATCAGCTGTACTTACAGCTGTTTTGTATTTGTGCAAAGAGAACGGCGCCTAACTTTCGTTTTAATTATCTCGAAGCTTGAAAAAAATTAAAGTCCTAAAAAATTCGTCTTTTTTGGACGCTATTCATATATGAACGAGACATCAAGGAAAAAATTGAAATAAAGGATGTTTCGGTTCGATCTCGATGCTTCTATTTCGCGCTTGAACGAAAATTTTCTGACTTTCGGTTCTCAAGAACATTGCGACGCAAAATACGAAATAAATGTGCGTATGTCTAGTAAGAAATAAATCAATAAAGAAAACTCGCGACGCGACGCTAGAAAGTGCTTCGCACCTTAATTACTATGATGCACGCATCGTCCTCAACGCGCGTTGAATGGATGTGGAAATCGAATGTATATCCATGAAATTCTTTACAAAAAGAAGAATGGAGTTCTTATTCCGATGTCGAAACAGCTATGATTGAGGAAGCATATCAAAAGAAATTACCAGAAGCTCTCATTGATGACTACCATATCGATTTTAAAAGTCACTTCAAATATCAAATTCCAATCCAAATAATCAACGACCTGTTAAACGCATTAGTAGAGACGGGATGACAATCGAGCCAAGACTTCGTGAAGCAAGATTCATGCCCAATCCCATTCATTCTGCAACACCCTTTGCTGAACATCGTTTCTTCTTAGGTTTAATCGGTGAAGTTTTCAAGCAATTCAATGTTCACGATAGTCAAGCACTTGAAACGCCAGCAAATCGTCGACTTTTGATTGAGAAAGCTGCTGAAGGTATCATCATCGAAGGTAAACTTATTGGAAAGGAAAAAGAAGCAGAATGGACTGCACAACAACTTCGGAACGTTATCGATGAATCAGATCAACAACTGTGGCAATGCTGTGCTCATCTCTGCACAATGGAATCATTTTTATACAAAAAGATGAATGAATATATGAGACTTTGCGGTGATCAGAGTAAACTCGACCTCTGGAAAAGTAAAATGGTTACATTTGGACGGTTCGCGTATCTTCTGCAGGCGCTGACATTTAAAAACAAAGGTACGAATGAATACTCAAAGTTTTATTTTTATCGAGGAGCCAATTTATCTGATGATTTAATTCAACAGTATCGTGACAATATCGGGGCGTATCTTACATTTCCAGCCTTTACATCAACAAGTCGAAATCGAAAGAAAGCCGAGCAATTTGGCAATGTCCTATTCATTATTCGTGCTGATTCACTCAAGAGAAATTCGATGTAGCTCCGTTATCTGACTATCCTGATGAAGAAGAAGCATTATTCATCTCTGATTTTGCCTTCTACATACGGTCTTGTACGTTGGATCAGCAAACAAAAAAATGGATTATCAAGCTTTCATTTTGAAAAGACGATTGATCCGTAACTTTACGATAAAAGAACATAGATCCGTTTAACTGAATACTTATTCTAGGAGATTAGTGCTCATATAAGTAATAAAGGTTTCAAAGACGAAGAATAAAGAATGTGAAATGCAGGATTCTGTTAGAAAGTCGCC